TGTCGCTTCGCCAAGGAATTCATTACCGCTCTCAAGCTTCTTTTCTCCTATCTGAAACGCAGTACCAAGGCGAACAATGGAATAACTGCCCTATTTTCCCACGCAAATGGTACTGTACTTCATGAACATGACGCGAAGTCCCATCTCGTGGTCTCGCAGTATTCCTCCATAATCACGCTTTACGAAGCGCTGCCAAGTAAACTTGTGCCTACCTCACCGTTCACTCTGGTGTATCTTGAAAGCAGCTCTACTTCAGCCGCGAAATCGCTACTAAGTTAACTCTTGTTTCCTCACCGGCAACTGATGGGCTTTTACCCACTGTTTCTCAAAATGGTAGGTCAGCACATCGTTGCACCTCTGCCAAATGTTTTCTCCGCCACTTGATGTAGGACGTCTTCCGCTTGCTTGAAAATTTGTTATCGGTTATCCCATATACAAACTGGGAAGCGTCAGGATCTTGGGAACTATCGGCCGATTTGTTTGCCATCCGTTATGTGTACAAGCACATAGGTAAGTTACAAGTGAGCCTTGAATCGCCATCTTGATAAAGTGCATATAATCACTTCCACGCAGCATGGCTTCCGTAGTGCACGCTCATGTGCCTTCAACTTGCTTGTGGCCAGAAAATGTGGGTTAACTGGTTGGAAGCCAGCAGTCGCCTGGACGTCGGCTTTTTCCAACTTCATAGAAGCATTTGATGACGTACTGCACGAACGCCTTCCCGTTCAACTTCAGGGTATCCTTGTTACGGAGGCGCTTCTCTCTTGGCTCGCTGGTTTTTTGATTGGCCGCAATAGGCATGTAAATGTAAATGGAACTTAATCCGAGTAGGTCTAGTTGACCAGTAGAGCTCCGAAAGGCACCGATATTGGTTCTGAGTTGTTTAAGATAGTCATCCACGACCTGCCATCAGAGCACCGAACGTATTGCCTGCTAATTGCTGACGCTCTGAAGCTAAAGATAGAGCTTTTTGAACTTGACGATGCTGACCGACTGCAAGAGTCGCTAGAGCAGCTGCACCGCTAGGTGTAGATGTGGCAGTTGCATATCATTGTAAGTGCGCTGTCGTCACTAGCAGTTACCCATACCCCTTTGTGGCTTAGCACCTTGATCGTTTCTTCCTCAGGAGTGCTGCTTGTGAGAAGGACCTTGGTGTACTTGTGTCTCCTGATGTGCACACTACCCAGGACACCTTGAGGAGGTTAGCGGCTGCTAATGGTATGTTTCAGTGCCATAAGGAGAGCATATTCCTGCATAACTCCTGCTGTCTTCAGACTCCTTTTTAATTCTCATGTGCACCCTATCCTCGATTACGGTTTACCTGCGGTTTATCCTCTAACGAAGATCGAACGGGTTCTCATAGAGAGCTTCAAACGGCAAGGATGGAAATCTACCACAGTGCTCCGGAATTTGCCCTACACACAACTTTTTCGAACGAAACCCATGTTTTCCTTGGCTTATCGTCTTCGTGGTGGTGAGCTGATATACTCCAGAAGCACACTGCGTGGAATGATGGAAAGGATTCGAAAGAGTTCTCTCAACGCAGAGATGAAAATTTAACGAGCGTCACTCCTGGTAACTCTCAGCTGAGGAAGCTCAGAGTCCATTGCGACGTTACCTTTTCCAGCCGGGTGGCGATGGACTGGAACCATTTATCTGCGCCGGTCATAACTGCACTGTGTGAGGAATATTGCAAACGACTTTTGTACTCATATCTGCTGCCTAATAAAGGATCGTACTTTTTCTGCTGTGATGGTGATTGCCGCTTGCGGAACCATGATACGCAAGACGCCGCATCATCTTTGCTTTGAATAAGAAGCGTAATAATTGTCACAGGACCTCCCGCTGCTCTAAATTAATCCATTGAACTCCAATACAAGATGTGCGCAGCGGGTCTGCTGGTAGGCAAACCTCGGCCAAATTTACATGCTTTTACTGAAACGTGGCTGTCTGAGGAAATCACAGATGACGAAGTATATTTGCCTAGCTACGCACTGTTCCGCACTGACCACCGCATTGGCCGTCAAGGAGGTGGTGTAGCTCTTTATGTAAGTTATCACACCGACGTATTGAGGACTAGCGTTTTTCAGTTTATCGACAAATAAGTTGCGGTTCTCGTAGTCTTGATTTGCGCTTCCTCGGTTCGAGTTGCGGTCATGTTAATGTATAGAAGCCCTATGAGCACATCCAATGGAATCACTGAGTTTATACACACTCGCGCTGCGAACAAGTGTCTGGCGCTTGGAGACTTCAACCTCCCAGAAGGGTGTTGGGATGATCTATCTTGCAGTCCGCCTCTGGAATCTTTCGGCACAGAACTGCTGGAATTAACGCTGCAGGTACTACTCACCAGTGCGCGGACCTCTCCACTAGGCACATGAGCAATCAACGGCAGTCCATATTAGATCTTGTTTTTACTAAGTCACTTGACTTTGGAAATGACTTTGGAAAATCTGCTCATGCCTCCATGGGCGTGCCTCGCGCAGTGGAGAAGAAAATATTTATTTATTTATTTATTTATTTATAAATACGGCTCGACACTTGGCGCTAGCGATCACGTTGGCTTGTCTATCCAGTGTACCCTTCTCAGGCCTCGCCAAATGACTACCATTTGATATCCGAACAGTTGGGCCGCAAACTTCCAAGCGATGCGGGATAAAGCTAGGTCAGCGCCTTATGTGATATCTGAGACAGACCCTGTTCACATAGCCTGGGAAAAACGTAACGCTCACCTCGTCGACATTTCTGCACCTCACCTCCCACTGGTAAAAGAAGGGAATCGAGAGCGCAGCCTCCGTGGATAGAGTCCGCGGGGAAGAGTCTCCTAAGGAAGCGGCCTCGATGCTGGCGAACGTATTCAACAGCTCCGTCGAACAGCAGGATCGACACGTATCAGTTGGCTCGAAATGATTGCAAGCTACAACTTAGGTTGGCCCGGTTTCAGTATGAAAAGGGCCTAGCTAATACTGCCTCGAAAAATCCAAGAAATTCTTCGCTTACGTTAAACGACGCTGCGGTGCAAGCTCGCCCATACCAACATCTTTTTCGTGGAGATGGTACCCATGCCTATAGCGACTATGACAATGTATGAGTTCTTGATGAGCATTACTCAAGCGTCTTTGTTCACGAAATAAATACGCCATGTAAGAACCAGCTTCCACAGTCGCTTAGGACAATTGTCTGGATGAACTTCCTGTAACGGAGTCCCAAGTTCTCTGGTTGCTAAGAGAGGTAAACCCAACTAAGTCTTCAAGGCCAGCTTGACTAGCGTGTGCGTTGTTACATGAAAAATTAGTACGAGATATAGAGGAGAACCATTTAAATGCGTTTAAACTGCTTAGCGTCGAGCAACGCTGTTTTCACAATGGATTTTCGTGTCAGACGAACTTGCTGTTAGCTCGTGAGTGCTGGGCTGAAGCCGTAGACAGAGGATATGCGGTGGATGTGGTGTTCATTGACTTCGCCAGGTCCTTTGACACTGTCCCCCATTCGCGACTCTCACTGAAGTTGAGGTCGTATGGAATGGCTAATCCCCTTTCCAGTGGAAGTCAGCTTTTCTGGGCGGACGGGAACAGTGTATTTTTGTGGGAAGCAGTCTTTCTTTTCGACAAGCTGTACTTAGCGGCGTTCCGCAAGGCTCTGTCCTAGGTCCGCGGCTTTTCTCAGTCTACGCGAATGACTTGCCGGAGGAGTTTGAGGCACTATCGCTCTTATTTGCTGATGACTTAAAGCTCTGTAATACTGATTATATTCCTGGAGGTCCTGTGACTCTTCAACGGGCTCTGGATAGACCCTGGGAATGGTCTGTTTGTGGTTGCTTCCCATAAACCGGGAAAATTGGTCAGTGTATCGGAGCGCCTGCTACCTCCAGAAGTTATGTGCTCAATGGGAGTGAACTTTCTCACGTGTCTCCTCAGGTTGATCACGGTGTCGTCCAATGTTCTACATTACACTCTGGAGACAACTGGAAGAAGGCGGCTAGTAAAGGTTTCCGGATGATGTCGTTTATACGTCGTTCTTTCAGAACCCTAACCACTGATGTGTTCGTGAAGGCCTTCTCAGCGTTTTTGCGACCGCACCTAGCATATTGCGTCCAGGCCTGTCCATCATGCCTTGTTCGGGACAAACTGGCACTAGTGAGAGTGTTGCGTGTCAGTACGAAGTTGGTCAAGGGATTAGGAAGAGAAACGTAACCCGAACGCCAACTTAGTTTGGATATACAGTCAATACACTATCGAAGGATTAGGAGGGGACCTAATTCTAACATACCGTATTTTGTCTGGGAAGGTTGGCTCTGATTTGTCCTGACTATTTAGTCCTGCGAGATTATCTGGTCTACGCGGGCATCGTATGAAGTTGTACAAACCGCGGTCCGATCGTGTTAAAGCGGAGACAGGGTTATCGCGTCGAGTCATCGAGCGCTGAAACCTGCTTCCAGAAGATGTTGTCAAGGAAGCTACGGTTAAGGGGTTCGAGCGTCAACTAGACGCTGTTGGGTGGCAACACGAAACGTTTCATTTTCCTGACTAATTCCCATCTTCATACTTCGATTCTATTTGTTTTACGTTCCCTCGCCGTTGGTAGTATTCGCTTCTTTTAAGTGATTTCCCTTACCCTCTTAACTTCGATTTTTCTTCCCCTATGACTTAATTCACACAACTGACAGCAGGGACAGCGACTGTAAGGTACGGGGGCATTAAATAGGTGGGCCAGGGTGTTTTTTCGGGTGTTTTCCTTTTAGACCCATCAAGAAGTCAGAGCACCCCTATGCACGCGTTGATCGACGATCCGCCTAAGAAGGAACACTTACGCCATCCATCCTATCTTTCCAGTCCTAACTGAACTTGAACTTGAACCTGGCCTGACTTGCAACAAGGGTATAGCAAGATTTATTTACCGTTAGTTTTGTGCACATGAATGTTTTTATGTATAAGGTTGAAGCGTATACATTACGGTTAACAGTCGTCTAAAAAGGTTGCAAGGTGTGTTTTAACCTATCAGCGAAATGTCGTCTGGTTTGACCCACGGTTTTCGATGGGGAATTCAGTTTCCAATCGTTCAAGCTTGAGTGAAGCTTCCGAGGGGAAACGTTGTGTGTACACTTCTCGTGCGATCAATAAATCACGCGTATTAGATATTGATCCTCGCTCGCCTTCTGAGGGCATTGTCCGGACTCCCATCCAAGTCGACCAGACAAATGATATTCAATTCGATGGCATTAGGTTCTCGAAAAATGGTGATTGTGTCGTCGAGACTGTCCACCATGACACAGCTAGTAGTAACCATATTTTATCTGACCATTTACACTGCTTTAGTTGAACTGAGCAACTTTGAAACTTTGGATTGCGTGTTGACGGAAGATGATTCTCTCCACGGAACTCATCTAGGTGATGAAGGTACTGCCGCTCTTTCGGATACAGAATTAACCACTAGGAGAAAGAAACACACTGGTGAGTCTTTTCGCTCTTTTCTTGTTTTATCGCATTTTGTCTGACTGTTGTTGCAAATATCGTTTGCTTCTGTTGCAGTATATCTTCCTTAAATGGCTTGTTGTATTCTTTCAGCCAAACCGCGCCACCCAGTGCAATTCCTATTTATCATAGTTTCTTATCGTGTTTTAGTCAGCTCCTTTTGGCGTCTGTACCTTGCGCTGATACCGTTCCGGATTTGCGCTGCACTCAGTGTGTCCATACTACACTACTTATTTAATGCACATACTTTGTCGCCGTACACTCGGGACTTGGATGAGCTGATTTAGGGGCGATCGAACATCCTGCAGAGGTTGCTCGAACATAGGATACATAGGTTACGGAACTACTGCATTGCGAATCGTTGCAATTCCATAAAACTCCCCGTCCTTGGGTCTTTTGCTTAACGCACGTAAGGTGTTCCCATATTAATGGGAACACCTTGTCGCGCAAGTATTTCGAACATAATGGTTCGATCGACTGAGCCGAACGCACTCTTGAAGTCGGGGAACAGCTATTGTCGCTCTGCGGTATGTGTGGCGCTGCTCTAGCACCGGCCGCAGAGTGAATATATGGTCCATACAGCCGTCATGGGAGGAAACCTGCCTACTCTTCCCTAATCCGAGAATGCAGTTCCATAAGCGACGAACGAGAGTCGAGGCCAGTATTCTTGTCAGCACTGCTGTTAGCCGGGCCACTCTTCCTTCCAGATATGTTCGAATACGGAGGTCGGTGCTTTGCAGAGTACCTTACCTCTATTCTTAAATATTGCAGCTGAGAAGGAATCCGCGCTAGCGGCATAAAAACGATTCAGGGCTGTGATCATATTTTCTATCTCGGCCTCTGACGGAGGCTTTAAACTAACCGTTCGTGGCTCTTCCTGCATCACCTGAGTAGGAAAAGTTCGGGGTGCAGGGGCCAGCTGAACTGATCTTAAATGCGCTTCTCCCAACGAGTCATACAGCGTTCCTTATTGTGTATCGGTGCACCCGCACTGTCTCTGATTGTTTCACTAACGCCTGGTTTCCTGGGACCAGTGGTGCGGATCAGCTGGAAGAGCTTGTAATAATTGCCTATTGATCCCGCCTCCTCCTTTTCTTTAGTCCCACTGGTCCACCAGGCTTCCTTGTCAGCACGCAGGCTCCGTTTTTGTTCGCGCCTAAAAGTCTGTCTGATCACATGCTCAGATCCAGCCGGGAGGTTTTTTCTGGATTCCAACAGGTTCACCGACCACTCGGATATGCAGTGATCGATACGGTGACGATAGTGCCACAAGCAGGTGCTCCTGCGTCGTGCATGGCGTCGGAGATCGTATTCCATTGAAGCTCAGTGTCGTTAGGACAAGAGGGCAACAATTCGGTACGCATTGCATCCTAATAGGCTTGCCTGACCGAGGGCTGAGACGAATTCTCAGTTGCTAATCGGAGGATACGCTTGGTGCGCCTCCCGGTAAAGTTAATTTATATACGGTCTTCCCTGCGTGGAAGGCTTGTAAGCGTGTACCGAAGTGGAGATGGACTGTGTGAGCAGGTATGGTGCTCGATCAACCTCAGGCGCGACAAGCTGACAGTAGGTGCATTCTACCGTAGCCCTCTGAACCGCTCCTTAGATTGGCTACCGCATCTTCGGACTAACATGTGTCGTCCATGTTTTCTACTCATGGGTGACTTCAATTGTCCCCACATTCAATGGCCTGAAATCCAACTCATGCCCGTGTATTCCGAAGTCGAATCAAAGTTTGTTGATTTGTTGCTTGAAACTGGGGCATCGCAACACATATACCAACCTACGCGCATGACGGCGCGTTCGAACCCATCATGCCTTGATTTGATGGTGACGAATTGCGAACAGCGGTTGCATGATATACGAATCCAGGAGCCCCTAGCTAAAAGCGACCATTCCGTGCTGATAGCCACTATGGAACTGAACTTACCGAGTGTATCTCCGGTGGAACCAGCTTACAACTAGTGGAAAACTGATTTCGATGGATTAAATCGAGCAGCGAGCCAAATGGATTGGTCTCTACCGCATGTTACATCTGTGGAGGACGGTTGGACGGTAATAAAGGAAGGATTGGCTTCGCTTTGTTCTCAGTTTGTGCCGTTGAAATTTCAGAAAGTCGGACCAATCAAACCCCACTGGTTCGACAAGGAATATGGTAGGCTGGCTCGGTTACGGCGAAGAGTGTGGGACGCATTTCGCCTCTGGCTCCGCCACTGATTACGAAGCATATAAAAGACAGCGAAATATTTGCAACAAAGTGAAATTGATAAAGCGCCGGAAGTTCGAAGAGAAGCTTGCAACTGACGCGAGGATGGCCCCAAAGAAAATCTTTGCTTACGTGAAACACCGTTTGAAGCCAAAAGGTGACGTGTCATGTCTGGAAGACGCGGACGGACACCTGCTAACTTCCATTTCCGATCGCGCGTCCGCACTGGTCGCTCACTTCGCTTCCATGTTTGCAAACGACGCGGCGTCCATACCCATCTCAGCGAGTAACATTCCTATAGAACTCAACAGTTTGGTTTGTGATGTCTACGAGGTGCGCCTGCTACTTGCGAACCTTGACGGTACCAAGCCTGCAGGGCCTGACGGGCTTCATTCGCTAATTATCAAATCACTAGCTGCCATTATCTCGCCTGCTGTTACGGATCTATTCAACAAATCATTGTCTGAGGGCTCATTGCCAAACGACTGGAAGCGCTCGGTGGGGAGGCCGATCCTGAAAGGTGGCGACCCCATTAAGGTGGATAACTACAGGCCAATTTGTCTTACCCGTTTTGGCCAAAGTGATCGAGAAGATAGTAAAAAGAGCGTCTAATACATCTGTTGCAATCGAAAGAACTTCTGACACCGGCACAACACGGATTCAGGATTGGGTATTCTTGTGTTACCAACTTACTTGTGACGAGACAGGAATGGTTGCAAGCACTAAACCGGGGAAAGTCCGTCGACGTAATCTACATCGACTTCAGCAAAGCATTGGACAAAGTTAATCATGAATTGCTTCTAGACAGATTAAGGTCGTGTGGTGTCGGAGGATCGTTACATCGATGGATCCATGAATTTCTCGTTAGAAGAAAGTGGAGGGTACAGGTGGACGGCCATCTAACCGATTGGTATCCCTCGACTAGTGGTGTAGCTCAAGGTACGGTACTGGGACCCACTCTGTTTCTCATCCATATCAACGAGCTGCCCCAGCTTCTACGGTCGCCGTGTGCACTGTTTGCGGATGACCTCAAAATTTGGCGAGAAATTGTTACTGTCGATGACTGTGACATTCTCCAACAAGACCTCGACCGCCTCGCATTATGGTCTGCTGAAGTCCACCTACCGGTCAACCCGGCAAAGTCCCTATTCATGAATCTCGGGAAGGCTGTTCACGACCGAACGTACACCCTAGACGGCCAACCACTGCATCCCACACCTTCCGTGAAAGACCTAGGTGTACTCTCACGCTGCGACTTTAAGTCCGTCGACAACAACAAACTGTATCGAAACGGACTGCGCATGCTCTGGGCGCTGAAGCGCAGCTTCTGCACTTGGTCTTAGAACGTTGCCACTCGCCTCTTCTATTCCATCGTCAGAGCAATGGTAAAGTACAGCTCGCCTGCATACTATCCGATCACTCGCGGCGAAGCGCAAAAGATCGAACGAGTACAACACGTCGCCACCAAGTTGGTCCCCAGCTTGAAAACCGGTGCATGAACCTTGGGCTCTACACCTTGTCATATCGCCGTGTTCGAGTGGACCTTATCATGACCTACCGTATTTTACATATCGGTCATTTCCCCATGCTGAGGTCGTTACTCCACTTGCGAGTACCATGCACCACACGTGGGCACAGGTACAAACTCGTGGTACCTGATCTGAAGAAAATCCCACACCCCCTGTGTTTCGAGTGGAGGGTTGTGCACGCCTGGAACAGTCTGCCAGAACACGTCGTCGAGGCCGAATCTGTGCAGAAATTCAAATCTTTGTTGGATTTACACTTCGCTAACATACGTTTCAGAGAACGGTTGCCACTTGATAACGATATCATCCACTTGTGACTCACTGTGTGAACAAGCATTTTGTATGCTACAGAAGGAGTTGCTGAACCATCTCAGGATAACCACCGGACGTGTTTAATTTTTTTAAAATGTTTTTTGTTTATCACCCGATGGAGTTGTACAGAGTTATTTTCTACTTGCTCCAAAATACAGTACTCAGTATTCAGTAAACGATGGCGTACCAAGACATGATCAGAGTCGACGCAAGCACTCTAGAACGAGAGTCAACCTAGGATGGAACTACGCCATCTCTGACCTATGGATATGTGGTCAATTTGGGTCCATGGCTGGCCAGCTACAGGAGGACGCCAAATTGCACTTCGACGCCCACTGTGTCTTAAAGCGGTGTTACTAGGAAACAACTAGTGCTATGTACATAATTGCAGCAGACGCTCGCCGTTGTCAGTCCGTTCGGAGTTAGACCCATAAGTACCATTTAGCTGAGCTTCTGAAGAGCCCAGACGCCCTACTTGTGCATTCATATCCCCTGCAAGTCTGGACTAGTAACCCTGCGTAGTATCGCTTTCAGTGCGTGACAGAATGTGTCCTTGGCAACATCAGCACTGCGGTCGATGGGGGTATAAGCGGAAATCACAAACAAACGTCGTTCTGTACTACTTCGAGGATCAGCCACAGTTGAGGTCGTCAAACGGGCCGCACACAATCGGCTGTTCATTGGGATCTAATCAACCATCGATGGTTGAGCCTTGGGGCTTAGATTGATACCTACACCAGCTTGATCCGTGAGTGCTGCATCGGCGTCTCTGCATGCGTGCAACCAATAGCGAGAGAATAAGCCGGGCGCAGTTAGTTCAACATGCCCATTCGGGTCACTGATCCTAGTTTCGAGCACACAACATATATCAATACCAAGTGTGTCCAATGTGCGTGGGAGTACAGCCTGTTGACCTATTTGTTTTAAACTGTGAA